GACAAGTGGATACAAGAGGGGAGTGAGCTCCTGCAACAGAAAAAGAAGTAGTAGCCAATAAAAAAGTATTGCAGGGAGCAAGACCGGATCAGGAAGCACTTTAGCCACAGAGTCACAGAACCTTCAGAAAGGTAAAGGATATTCTAATCCAAACCCCTCCTCTATCAACTTTTCACAAATAACAACCTGTCTTGAGGACAGCAACACGTATTGGCTTTCTGAAAACACAGAGAATTTTAAACAGAAACTATTGGGAGAATGCCCTGCCAAAGAAAAACGGATCTGCTCAGGGAAAAACCTATTGAACAGCGGGTGAAAAGTGGGGGATCCGAGGCAGATATAATTAAGGAAAAAGAAATAAAAGGGGTAATCAAAAGTGGTCAGGAAATTCAGGTGATGAGAGGTAAGAACTTATTTCTAGATTTGGTAGAGAAAATAAGCCGTGAATTTGATATCAGTACCTGTTGGATTTGTGGGGACATGCAACTGGAGGAAATTTGGCCGTGGGAGGGAATTCCGCTGAGCTCACAGAATTTATTAAGGCTACAGGAGAAAGGAGAACCTGGAGCTGATACAAGAGCCGAGGAAGAAATACGGAATTTGAAGGCCTAGGTAATTGGTGAGGAATGCTTATGGACGAGAGGTCCCAGTTACATCACTTAGGTGATGGTGAGCTCCATTTTAAGCAATACCTTGTATCCAATAATATGCATCAGTGGTGGATCCCTCCGGCACCAGAGCTGTATTGGTCTAAGAAACAAAAACAAGGATGTTGGTACATTGAAAAGGAAAAATTATATGAGCGCATTACTAGGGAGGCTAACCCTTTTCTAGACAAACCCCGACTTTCAAAATTTTGGACAAGAAATGGCCTTATAGTAACGAGAGCACCCCAACACTGGAGAGCCCCAAAAGGCCTCTTTTGGATCTGTGGGAAGACAAGGTATGTAATGCTCCCCCAAAGCTGGGTGGGAAGTTGCACTTTGGGCATTATTAAGCACACATTCTTCCTCCTTCCACAAATTAGTGGACCACATCTGGGGGTACCCCTTGGTGATGAGTTAAAAAGAAAAAGGAGGCAGATACTGATAGGGGGAGCCCAAAGATGGGGGGAGGACGAATGGCCACCTGAGTGGGTTGTAGCAACATATGGCCCTGCCACTTGGGCCCAAGATGCGTCATGGGGTTACAGAACGCCTATTTACATGTTGAACTGCATCATTCTCCTACAGGCATTGATAGAAATAATTTCAAATCAATCCTCCCTAGCTATGGTTAGCATTAGATTGTTTACAAGCTGAAGAGGGAGCGTAATGGGGAAAATTCAACTCATCTGAATGCTGTGTCGAGATAGACAATCATAGTGAAATCATTAGAAACATTACAGCCAATATCCGGAAACTAGCTCATGTTCCCGTGCAGAAATGGACCCCATTTTTCCAAGCTAAGTGGTGGGATAATATCTGGAATGGTGACTGGTGGACAAAGGTGTTGTTAATTGCTGGTTTGTCGTTCCGATTGGGAACGGCGGTAAAGAACGACAATGGACTCTCAAGGGAGTCACAACAGGAGAATTCCTTAGTTTATTGCTTCAGCTTGTCTTATAGACAGATACGTGGAAAGTACAGAAAGGAAACTCTTATTGGTTAACAAAGTACTACATTACCATCATTGGTCAGGGGCACTTTGCCCCCCCTGACTCTCTCCTGCAAGGAGAAACAACAGGCTGCAAAACAACACCTGCAAGGCTGTTTAGTATCTCTGAGAATTGTTTTAATTCCTTCTCATGAATTTCTCAGGCTAGCCTTCAGTCAGGCCTGAGAGCTATGTGGCCTGTAATAACTACAGGCACTGTGGTTCAGATTTAGCATCCATACTGGTGGGTCACTAATAAGTCTTATTCTCCTTCCTTGTATGGTTCCCTGTCTAATCCAAACCATTACTAGAACGGTGCAAAACTCCCTCAAAATCAGTTTTGGACAAAGACTGAATGCCGAAAAGGCTGAAATGATTGGGACAATCAATTTGACAAAAACAGAAGCACAAGAGAAAGACCACGGTCCTCAGACAGCCCAATAAATTTATAGGAAGTACCAGAAGCTTAGAAAAATCTATTGGATTTATGAAGAAAGAGTTTAATCATTTGTATTTGCATAAGAGTTTGATGTGGGCCTAGGCCAGGTCAAAGCTTCAGAGGGGGGAATTGTTATAAATAGTGCAACTCCCTAGTTGGTTAAGAAAGTTGAAGTTCTAATGATGTTTGTTTGTTGCGTATGATTGTCCGGGTGTACGGAAACATGTGGTAGCCGGTTTTGAACAATAGAAGGGGGGGTTTGAGGTTAACGAAGGCAGAGCAGAATGGAACCTTCTAGGAAAATGAAGTCACAGCCCCAGATGACATGTGGATCCTCGCTGGCCGAAGGAAGGGACCAATGGAGTGTTGAGTTTTGGAAATGATTGGTGGAGGTTGCATGATCTTAAAGACCAATCAAAGGTCTGTATTTAGACCAATCAAACTGTGGATTGAAAAACGCACCAATCCGACATTGTGAGAGACTTTAAACCTCTGGGGTGCCCAGCACCGGGTCTTCCTGAGGAACTCTGTTTCGGAAGGAAGCACCCAGCCTGTCGTGTGGCTGTAACTCTTTATCCAGACTGCCATTTGGGGTCTGGCTTATCTTGTCCTCAGCCCTCAGTGGTTTCTCATTTTTAAATAAACAAGTTGACTTCTGAAGAACACCTGAGCATCATTTATCACATTGGACAAACAGTTTTCTGCTAGGAGAGCCCTGCACACTGTTCTGCACATCTTTCATAAACACCATAAAACCAACTCCAAACACTCCACCTACAGAAGCTTTCCACACAGGGCCGCCAAAATCCAGGGCAACTGCAAGTGAGTGTCAGAAGACTTTTGTCCTGTACCTGCCAGCAAAATTCTTAATGATCTAAAGCAATTGCATTCAGATGTAACATGGGATCTCTGTTTTTCTATTAAACTGTTTCATGATGAGGAACAAGCCTTGGGAGCATGAGGTGCAAGGCTGACGTATGAAAGCACGAGCATGCCCTCCAAAATGGGCAATTTAATTGTCCATTTTATTACTCTAATATTTATTCCACACTAAGAAGCAAACCCAAGCCTTTCTTGGAGGCAAAACGTGCATGGTATACACTACAGTCCCTCGCAGGGTCACCAGGATGGGCAGGGACAAAGCAGGCAGTCTGCCTCATTGTGAACCACTACAGAGCTACATCCCAATGTGGGTTTAAGCAGCACGGTATTATTAAGAGTTCCTTTCCTGCAGGAGATACAAAAAGAAGGTCCCTAATGATCTTCTTGCAAGCATGCACTAAAGAACAGATCCTGCTATCCTAATGAAGCTTTGGCTTTGGCAATTACACTCTTCCCATTCACCTTTTGACACAGACACTTCAGGTCTTCCCCCACACTCCTGCAATGCAGAGCTGGCAGTCGCTGTTTCCCATTTACTGTTCTTCCCTAGAGCCAGTACAGTGGTTGCTTTGAAACAAAAAGCCCTGAGATCTGGATATCTTGAAGGAGCATGAAATGCTAATTAAGTGTTCATATTGGTAGCTACCCAGATCTTCACTTCCCCGTACTCTGAAGCACCATCAGGGGGACCATGCATCATTCCCATTTGTGGATGTTCATGTTTGTGGTGTGCAAGAGCAATGGCTTTGAGGAGGGACAAAAATGCCCCAATTCAAACAGTGGGTGTGCAAGGAGATGTGAAGTTCCACTGCCTTTTCCAAGATATTTTAGAAAGATCTAAGAGAATACTGCAGCATGGAGTGGGTCCCTCATTTTCTCTCCAGAGGAATCTCCAAAGGACACATTCACTCTGCTGATGGTGGCAACCCCATAAGCTCACAGACTAGTTTTCCCTGCAACATGCCACCCTGCCTGGGCTTTACTAGGCCAGGACTAGACTCAAAGTTAGGCAGCCACTTCAGAAAACCTAATTATCACATTCACATGCATTTTCTCCTGTAACATCAGAAGCTGGCAACCATGAGGACTTTGCTGTCAAAAGGTTCCAGTTTGCACTGGGCCGAGAAGTGGTTTTCCCAAAGGCAACCTAAGTTGAAATGTGAAGTGAAAAACCTCAAATGAATACGAAAGGAAGCAGCAAAAAAAAATTCTGGAAAGGTAGCATTGTCGATGAACATGCAGCCCACCAAGACATGGAGCTGAACCCAGGATTGCATGTTCCAGCTACGCAGGAATTCATTATGCTGGCAAGCACTGGTCCATGGTAACAAATGATCCCATACCCCTGGGCTGAATGGCACCCAGGCTGGAGTGCAGATAGATTTGAGGAACCCTTGTCACCTGTTGAGCTCACAGTCCACTCATCCTTCTGCAAATAAGTTGCAAACAAGACACTTGGACTGCTGTCCTGGATAAATGTACATATAGCTGACTTTTCCAAAGCTGTGCATCTTTTCCAGGGAAATACACAACCACTCCTATGAAATTGTGATTGAAGATACCGCTGAGCCAGATCGGCGTGAGGTTGCAAAGGAGCAAAGCTTTGGGATTTGGGCACACTTCTCTTTGTTTCTTTGCTCAGGCCTTTTGTGAGCACAGAATACATGTAGGTAGAAAACTTTTGACTATACAGGATCTTTTGGGTCTATTGTCCCCCAAACATGTCAGTGGGTAGCCCCATTGTAATGCCAAGTCACGAACAGCAGCACAAATGACACAAAGAAAACATGGCAAAAGTGGAAGAAGAGAGGCCCAGTGAGGAAAGAATGTGCTGAGACACTGGGACATCAAGTGAGCTGCACTCCCATAACCTCAGCACATCTCCTCTAGGCTAGCAGGTCCTGGTCTCACATTCCCTGCTTGTTTTTTTTAAAATTTAATTTATTTAAAATTAAACCCCCCCGGATCTCATATATATATATATATATACACACATATATATATATATATATATAAAATTAAAATATCATCACAATTTGAAAGATACAATCAAAGCACATTTATTCAAACCTACATCAAAATATCATAACATATGAACACATGTAACAGTAAAGCCTAACACATAAATCCTATTCTTCAATCACTCTTTTGAGAGGCAGCAGCTTCTTCCTGGACTCGGTGGAAAGAGAGCTCTTCAGGATGGGAGGCAGGACTTTGTGGGTAAGGACACATAGGAAGTATGCAGACAAAACTTCTTGGTAAGAGTAGAGCCTGTCAGGTCTACAAAATGGAAACACAAATTGTAACAGAAACTGCAGTGCAAACCTGTCTTGGTTTTAGAAGACAAGTGTCTGCTAGGGAGGGCAGGAGCCTCCCTTGGAATGAAAAAATGCAGACCCCCTCTCTCCAAATGATTATGATTTTGAAATCAAGGGGTTTTCAGGCAGAGATCTGGGGATAGGAATAACAGTTCTTTACTAGTATTTATAACAAGGCAAACAAACAACAATAAGAAGGGATGGAGGAGAGGCTTTGCTTCACAAACCCCCTCGGGCGGGCAGTCCCAGTGCTCCTGCAGGGCTCTGAGGAACAGTCAGCTGGAACAGCAGGGATGAGCTGAGATCCTGGGCTGGTGGCTGAGGTGGATCAGCAGCTCTGTGGTGGTGCCTGGCACTGCGACATGCAGGACAGGGGGTGCGAGGCCACCAACAAAGAGGGAAGAAGGAGAAGCAGCAGCAGCTCCGTCTGGGTGATGGTGAAATTCCCTTCTCCCCACCGCAATAACTCCAAGCCCAAAGTGTTCTTCTCCAAACCTGAAGAAAGCCCACCAAACTGTCCCCACCCTCCTTTTTCCTGCCCCCTATCCCTCCTGGGCCCAGCCAAACTCTGTCTTTTGTCAAGCACCCACCAAGTACCCACAGTTAGGTTGTCCCCGCAACTAATGGGTAAAAATTCCACGGGCAAGCCAGAACTAAAAAAAGACACCTAACCCCCAACAAAACCCAATGCATCTGGAGCTCCATATTTCATGGGACAGACTTCCTGCAAACTTCTAAATAGTTGCACAGGGAAACATGCTCCTGCCAGCAGCCACTTGAGACAGGCCAGGGAACAATCTGCCCCACTTGCACAGAGCTACCACAGGAACACCCTGGCCTCTGGGCTGGCCTGGGACAGCAGGGAGCTCAGAGCCCTGGGCTTTGCAGCCATGGCTCAGCTGCACATGCAGCCTCCTGCTCCTGTCCCTGCCCCACAGCTGAGCAGCCCTACAGCTACACAGGGCACTGGCAGCAGCACAGCTCATTGCAGGGGGCACATGCAGGGCAGAACTGTTCCCTGGGGATGAGCATAGGGTCTCTGGGCTGGCACAAGACCCCATCCCTCACCTGTATGTGAGGCTGAGCCCTGCTCAGCCTTCATCTTGTCCTCAATCAGAAGTTGCTTCAGGCCCCCCATGCCTTGACTAGGAAGGGCAGTGGAGAGAGAAGGGGCTGATGCAAACCCTTCCTCAGTGTTTCATCGCTTTTGAAACAGCAAAAAAGTCACATCCAGAGGTGTCCAACTCAGCTCTTCCCCAGCTTTCTGGAGAGCATCAGGCCTTCACCAGCCCAAGATGCTGGAGAGGTTTTCCCACACATGTGGAGGCTGGCTGGCAGCACACTTCCTCAGCTTGGTGCCCATCACCTCGTAGAGGGCAGAGGCAAGCTTGGTGACCACAGTGCAGACATTGGCACTTCGCACAGGCAGCGCCTTGTTCCCCAGGAAGGACCAGAGCACGGGCAGGGCGTAGTGCTGGACGACTTCAGGGCTCCTGGGATAAACCCATTCCACAAGCACTGCCAGGAGAGAGACACAAGCTTCTTAGCCACCAACCTTAATGCAAACAAGGATCTACCTCTAAGTTTTGCCTCGTGGAAGCCTCTCTGGCTAAGATCAGAGAAAGAGCACACAGACCCCCATGAGCCAGAAACAGGCAAAGCAGCTGATCCTCCCAGAAACAGAACCACCAAACCCCAGAACTAATTCCTCCAAACAGGGCCTTGTAGCTCTGGCAGACTTTGTACTTTTACTAATCTGTTTCGTGACCTGTTTCTGCAGGGACAGTGCCTGAAATGTCAAATTGCCTTTTATTTCCATTAAGAAGTTGTCTAAACCCACACTGAAAATCCAGACGTGCACCATAGAGAGGCAACTGAGGGAATTTCAATAAAAAGGATGATTCCATGCTTGTGACCCTTGATGTCAAGTGCCAAAAGTCTAATCTGGCTCTTCCCTTTGCTCAGTGGCACACAGTAAAGGGGCCTGTTAGACCACACTTCAAAACTCCAGCCCTCTTGAGATAAATACTGATGACACTTGGATTAGAAACATCAGTGACTTGCTGGTGTCATTGGCAGAATGCTTTTGTGGCTTCCAACAAACAGCTGCTCCAAACCTCAGGGTGTCTTAGATAATGACCCACACCCCATTGCCATGGCATCTGAGCATCTCCACATTTCAATGGCATTTCCCCTCCCAATGTTAATGGCATTTTTCCCTACAATGCAGACAGAAAGGAGGAAAGAGAGAGAAAACTGTTACCCAGGGAACTGCAATTTAACCAAAACATGAGTGTTTTCTCACATTGTGTCAGAAGCATCCTCTCTGCTTGTTTTCTGAACTGAACTACATCAAACACAGACAAAAATTGACTACCAACAGGCTCCTTGCACAGCAGATTTGGCTGAGAGATCAAAAGCTGAAATGGTCTGGAGACCATTCTCATTTTCTGAACAGGTAAAATGTTATGTAGGAGCCATTTATTTTTCTGTGGTGGAAAAGACTGCATTTTCTCAATGCT